TTTTTTTTTTTTTTTTTAAAAATATAAAAAAAAAAAAAAAAAAAAAATATTCAATAGTGTTTTTTTAAATAAAAACAAATATATATATATTTCGAAATTGTACCTAAGGAATTCAACACTAGAAAAAAAATTTCTATACTAGAATGGAAGACCTTATATCAATAATTAAAAAAAGATAACCCTTAAAATTTTATATTAAAATTTTTTTTTTGTTAAGTTTATAAAAATATGTATGTTTAAACTAATTTATGAATAATTAAAATATATGTTAGATATAAAATTTCAAAATTATAAAAATGAGAGTATTTCTCAACTTTCATAATATACATTATATTTAAATATATATATGTTTTAAAAAGATCTCCATTTACAAAAAAAGTGAATTTTGACCAAACTTATATTACAATAATTTAAAAATTATAATAAGCAATAAGAAAAAATGTAAAGTTCTTTTCTCTATTATTTAATTATTTCTCTAATTTTTTTTTTTTTTTTTTTTTTTTTTTTTTCAAAATAAAAAATAAAAAAAAAAAAAAAAAAAAAAAAAATTTTTAAATATTAAAAACATTACATTCATAATACGAAAAAAATATATTTTTTTAAAATGTTAAGTAATATTTATGAGAGGATATACAAAAGTACTAAAATACAATTAAATTAAAGTTTTTTTTTAAACATGGTATTTTAATTTTTTTTTTTTTTTTTAAACAAAAAGTTTAAAAATAAAAGAAGATATAATATATGCATATAAATATTATTTTAAAGCTTTATTATATTTAAATATAAACCATTTTAATGTATTTAAAATTTAAATAATATTTGTTTTATTGAATACGCAAAGTATATATAATTTTATTATTTTTTTTTTTTTTTTTTTTAATTATTGCTTAACAAATTAAATATATTAAATGTATATTTATAAATATAATTATATTAAATCAGAAAAAGAATAATACAAAAAAAACAGTAATTATTCCAATTTATAAAAAAGAAAGATACGTAAAAAAAAATTATAAAATAATATAAAGAGAAAGAAGAAAATTTAAAGCATTTATTTATTTCAAGATGGAAAGAAAGAAATTTGAAGGAAGAAATAAAGAAGGAAAAGCAAGAGCACGCAAAACAGGATTTTCAAAATTTTCTTATCAACCAAATAGAGGTGTGTGAAAAAAAAATTAAAAAATTTTAAAAAAAACCTTATAAAAATAACTGAATTCATATATATGAAACTATGTGATGAGGATTTACATAAAAATAAAAAAAAAAAATATATATATAAATAGCAAATAATTAAATAATTTTATAAATATAAATTTAATAAGCATAAAGTAGGAAAACAATTTATCAGTCATAAAATTATTATAATATATGACCAATCCTTTTTCTCTTTTTGTTTCTGTTTATTTTTAAATTCCATTATTGTTCATATAAGTATGAAATAATGACAAAAATTTAATATTTTAAAATAAATTATTGAAAATACACGAAATATATAAACAGAATGAAATATTTTTATTTTGGATTTTCATATTAATTTAGAATAATAATTACCGATAAATTGTAATAATTTTTTCTTTTTTTCATTATTGCTTTTGCTTTATATATATATATATATGTGTATATATATATATATATATATATAAAATATCCTTAGTATATTATGTGTAGTACAAATTAAAAAGAAGTTTTTGAGATTGAAAATATTAAATATTATGTGAATGTGATAATGCTTTTTAATTTATCATTTAATCAATTAAAAATATTGCTTTTAAAATTTTTTCCTATACACATGCTTATTTATTATATAAATTTAAAACAAGTGTATAAGGGATTGATTGATATATTTCTATATAATAATAAGATATATCAAATGAGTTTAAGCAAAAAAGATTTTTATTTATCATGTTTCATGAAGTATTACTTGAATCATTTGTTTTGTAAATATGTGTTTCTTTACATCACTATTTTATTACACGTTAAGAGAATTGTTTATTTTTTTTATATTGGAAATTATTTAAATAAAAATAAATGGATGTAGTTTTCATAGAAAGAAAAAAAGAAAAAAAAAAAAAAAGCAATTTTTCGGTATGTATATATTTTCAGAAAAATGGGATTAGGATTTTCAATTTAGCTACACATTTTTAATATAAAGAAAAAATAACATGATACCTACCGAATCAGAAAAATTATATATTTAAGAAATCTAATAAACAAATATATAATATTTTTTGTGTTAATTTGATAAAGAATACTGAATATTTATAAAATGATATAAATTTTTTATTCATTATAAATTTATGCATTTGTACATCAGATATTGTGAAAAAAACGAAAGAATAAGATCATATAAGTGTTATATACTTATTTTTATATTATTGAATTCATATTATTTTATTGAAAAATAATTTGTGAATATAACAAAAAAAAAAAAAAAAAAAAAAAAAAA